GTGATCTGGCTATTTTGAAGTATATGCGTCATTGATGTTACATTATACGTGTCTTTTTGATCTAGTGTAACTCAATTAAAGTTTATGTAACCTTTACTTCCCAGTTGGGAGGGAGAGTCACCTTGTCATTTAATCTATGATTTTAGAATATTAAAATATTTCAATTTTAATTTTTTTATTTTAATTTTTTAATTTTAGGGATGTAATCCTATTCCTCCTGATACAGCTAAGACCCTATCAGTAATACACTGGTCTTGTGCATTAGGACTCACTGATCCTCTACACTGTATATTAACCTCTAGTAATAATACTAATAGTAATATTGATGAGCTGGTAGTGTGTCCATCATTCGTTGGTGAGCCACTTCATGTAGCAGCTAGTGTTGGATCAATGGAGCTGTCTCAGTTACTAATAGAAAGAGGAAATGATGTAAAAAACCTGAATAGAATGACATGATTCATAGTACATGTACTGTCATGTACATGTACATTACCAAAATTTTATTGGTGCACTTTACATTCACATGCATTGAATAGCATTTTTATTCTAAATACATATAGCTTTTGTTAAACTGTTTGTACATGTGCACATATGTTTTATTGTATTTTTATCATTTTGCTTTATTTTACATGTAGGTTGTTAATAATCATGATCCTTCCTCTGGTATGACTCCATTACATTGTTCTAGTGCTCATGGTCATCTCAATACTCTGAGACTGTTACTAACTAATAATGCTGAGGCTAATGGACTCAACCATAGCAATGGACAGTAAGACTGTAATAAATATAGTTATACTGTACATGTACCCATATAAAAACACCATATAAAATGTAGTGGATGTACATGTACATCTACGTCTGTTTTACATGCTACAAATTATACTATAAAAACTCTATTATATCACATGTGTATATTCTTGTTTATTCATTTATAGTGCGCTACATGTACAAATGCTGTTGTACATATCACGTGTACATTTTTTGATTTTTTGTCTCTCCTTTCCAAGGTCTGGTTTACATTATGCTAGTTCCAGTGGTCATGGTGAAGTATTGAAGGAATTACTAAAGAATGGAGCAGAGAGAGACAAACCATCCTCATCTAGTGACTCGTACGTTAAAATTACTTTTTTCTCTCCTCTTTTTACATGCATCTTTTTTTCTTTTAGTCCTATACATTTAGCAGCTAGCAAAGGACATAAGAATATTTTAGAAATATTAATAAGGTACATGTATAGACATGTATGTACATATACTTGTACATGTACATGTATGTATACTGTATAGCCGAAGATACTTATTTTCAATATTATAATTATCCCTATGTACATGCACATACATGTACATGCATATATACAGTATACGCACAAAATTTAAATTGTAATTTTTTCATGTACATGTACATGTACTGTATGCATGTACTGTACATGTAAGATCTTATTTATTACAATGTACACATATACATGTAAATTTTATCGTTTCATTTTTTCTATTATCCTCTTCCTCCTACAGTGATGGTACTTCAATTGATATAGTTAGAGCCAGTGATGGGAGGACCCCGTTACATTTATCATCACTGGCTGGCCATTCAGTGGTTGTACAGTATTTACTTGATAAAGGAGCCGACTGCAATAGGAAGGACACTACTCACGGGTAGGGAAACACCCACAGAATATAATAAGTATTACATGTACATGTACATATACAGTATAGCATGAAATTTTAGAGGGAGTTAAATTTGGCTAATTACTAAATTTTGGTGTTTAGCGAATTTTAATTTGGCGACCTTGTGGCCACGTGCCATTAAGCATGTGCATAATGGCTCAAAATTGTGGGGTTTTTTTTATTTTAGCAAAAGGCTATCAGAATGCCAAATTTAATTCCCTTTGAATTTCCCGCTATACGGTACATGTACATGTACTTCAAATTTTATTCAGTCACTTCTATGAACCAATTTGTTTATTATTGTATTTTATTGCATTATAATGTACATGTAGTTATACTCCATTGGATCTGGCTCTGTTGAATGGTCACAGTTCTGTTGGGGATTCCCTCATATCAAGTGGAGCCTGTACTGGTGCTGGTAGGATACATGAATCAGCAACAATGATACAACAATGCTGGAGGAGATATGTCATTAAGGTAATGATGCATGTATGGTACAGTAGTACATGTACATGACATCTACATATTGATGTCCTATTGTATAGCCTATGGTTTTTTCAAAAAAATGGCCCCGAAATCACCCCCATTTTTTATTAAATTTTTTGATGTATATTGATGTCCTTATGCTATGTAGAAAGTTTGAGTTGTTTCCAACAAA